CCGTAATTGGGCAACCCAGGCAGCTGTCGAAGGATACAGCTAGTATATGAAAGCAGCATTAGTGGTTCAAATAAAATAGAAAGTCATAGCCGTCCTGGGATCATTAGCATCAAATTGTACATGAAAACAAGATCAATGCTGCTTCAGTGATAATTTTTCTTTGAAATCTGCATAATGTTCAAATTTCACCTTATAAGGCAACTCTATACTCAATTTCAAGTTTGGTATCCTCCTTATAAGGTAGCAGTTTTAGCGTTGCTTCCGGTTTGACAGTTTTGAAAGCTAACCCTACCACATAGACAATCTCCTGTCCATTTTTCTGTTTCCAGGCTGGCATTAGCAGAAGATCCTGTTCGACCTCGTCGTCTAGCAGTGGGGGAGGCAGTGGTGGCATTTTCTTCAACGACTTCATCATCATATGGTGATGGTTGGTCGGTACAGTGTATTCGTGACGCGAGCTGCACAACACTCACTACATGTTCACCACTAAGGTAGATCTAAATAACGCTCAACTTACACATTATGTTCAAGCGGAGGATAGACTGCCAAGGGCATGACCATAATCGCGCGCTAGTCGCCTAGTTAGTTGTCAGGATGCCTGTATATACTCTGCATCAATCGAATTCGCAACTTGGTGACGATATTCACGGGATGGTGGTCAACGCAACACACCTTATGCGTTCCTCCATCCGTTATGAAGTGGGAACTTACCGATGCCACCGCTCTGATCTGTTAATTGACTAACAATAACACCTATTTGGCCAGATCTTGTGATGAAAATGCTCTTCGGGTTACAGCAGTGCATGGTGTGGTGTTTTGCTCTAGTTTACGGTCGGAAGCCGATTGCATAGTATGCGGCTGGATTTTTTTATATTATTCCTTTTTTCAGACTCGTTTCTTTATTGTATACCCTACAGAAATCAACAGATACTTTGTATGACAACGTAAACAATGTCCCTGATTGAAGCCGCTGTAAATGGAGGGATTGGTCTTTTCTGCATTTTTCTGTTAGAGTCTTAGCGCAGACTTTCAAACAAAAGCGGCCAAAGCTATGGTATCAACGGATACGAATTGATTTTAGCCCTGGTCGGTTGACAGCTTAGCCAGGATTCGGTTTCAATCTCATGGTAAAGCCGATTCATACAGTCGAGTAGATTCTCTGCTTAATATAGTGTGCT